CACCCATCCATCAGCAGTTGCTCTTTATTCTTTCCTTGGGATGTCATTTCTCCCTGCCTGCCCCCGTTTCAYTGCTCCCTGATAAACTGCAGCCAAATGTTTCTCATCCAGTCCATCAACATTGTCCTTCCTCTCCCTTCATTGATTAATCCTCTCCTTTAAACACACCGTTAGTTCACTGAGTTAAACCTCCCCACATCCTCACAGCTCTGACCCCTTTTCCTCCTCACCTTCCTCATGCTGATGGAGGTCTCGATGCCAGGACGGACATTGAAGCCTCCATCATCCATGAAGGCTGGCTCGTTCTGGTCGTGCACCATCACCCTGGCTCCTGTCACCGTGGACAGCAGAGGGATGAAATCGTTCTGCTCCGTGCGCACCACCAGAGACAGACCTGGGGAAACAGCAGAGATGGGGAGGTCATGTGTGCTGCCATGGAGGAGAACAGTGAGAAAAGAGTCTGAAAGAGATTTGGGAAAARACAGACATCAATCAGGGCTACAGCAAACCTTAGTGGCTGCAGAGAGGCCAGAGAAAAAGGCAGAGGCTCCAGAAGAGGCAGAGAAAATTGGATTTCATCACTGCAGCTTAGAAAAAGCAGAACTGGGAATGGAGAGATTTCATGGAGAGACTCGGAGCCAGATGGAAGAAAAGCCAGAAAAGCCTGAAGATTTGGCCTGGAGAGGTTTCAGGAGATTTAGGAACACAGTTTGTTGAAAGAAGAAGATGAGGAAGGAGAAGGTGAGGAGCAGGAACACGAGCACTAGGGCTCAGCAGCAGAATACAGGAATGGTCCAGAGGAACCTACAGACTACAGTGCAATCCAGAGGAAACAGAGAGCACAAGGATCAGGCACTGAGGAGGGAGAGACAGCTCAGTGGGCAGCAGTGAGGGCAGCCATGCCCATGAGAGCTGTCTGCTCCAGGGTGAAAACTTGGGCAGGAGAGCAGGGCTGCAATGTGCCACCACCAGTACCAAACACTGCAGTGATGCCTGAAAAGGCTTAGAAATAAAATTCCATAGATTGGTGTCTATAGAGCAGGGATTTGTTTATTGCAGCACTGGAGGGGAGGGGGATTTTTCCTCTTAATCTATTTGCTTTTGCTTCCAATTGGCACATATTTATACAGTAAGCATGGTGTATAACGTTATTATTGTCACTGTTTTCTATACTCTCACTATACACTTACAACTCTACATGGGCACAGAAATATATCACAGTTTTACCAGTGCACATGTGTTATTTTTAATTTGGTGCTCATGGGGGTCTCCCTCTAATGCAATACTATCTTCTTTATTACGGTGGACTTTTAACTTTTGCCTTCAGGGCATGTGCAGTTGGAATGTTTATGGGGTTTTTTTTCTAGTATTCTAAGTCATAATTTTAAATTATTTTGTTGATTGTCTCGTGCTTCTGCTAAGTTTTCATTAGTGCTTGTTATTGTTTCTTGTTATAGCATTTACTTGTTTACTTTCTTCAGAATTTTTTCGATTTATGTCTCTTGGTGTTTTCACTTACCTATATACTAATCCAGCTGGTTAGATTACGTGCAGCTGGTATACTACATGTTGCTAATGCACTAAAAAACCTTAAAGCATATATATATATAAATAATATATATATAATATAATATATATTATATTATATACATAATAAATATAGATAATATATATAATATATAATATATAATATATATTATATATTGTATATTATATATTATATATTATATATTATATATTATATATTATATATCATATATCATATATCATATATTATATATTATATATTATATATCATATATTATATATTATATATGATTGATATATGATATGATATATGATATATGATATATGATATATGATATATGATATATGATATATGATATATTATATATTATATATTATATATTATATATTATATATAATAAGCTATAATTGATATATTGAAAGTGACTACATTGTATTATAATAATATGTAAAAAGTTATTACATTCTTATATTGACAACATATAAAAAAGGCTATAGAGAGTTTTTAATTAGTAGCTCTCATAAGTACTTTGCTACTTTGATATACATCATATACATCAGCAGGATGCCCATAATTTGTAGGGAAAACAGAGCTGAGCTGTTCTGACTCACCAAAAAGTGAAAGCAATGAACCAAAAAGTGCCTCTCACCCACCATTATTGATGCCAGGCAGCGAGGATGTCCACAGGCTGCTGCTGTTGTCATTAAAGGTGTAGCAGTTCCCATASAGGGGATGGTGGAAATGGGTGTAATTCCTGCGAGGGGAACAGAAACATTCACAGTGAGAAGGGCTGAAACACCAGGGGGAAGGGATTTCTGAAAAATACAGCTCTGTTTTCCATCAGCAGGGAGAGSAGCTTACAGCAGATGGGCACTATTTGTTATGTAAACTCACCTGGAACAGGGAAAAACAATTCAAATGTGCTGTAAAAAATGTCCTGGAACTGAACAGGTTTTTACAGAGGTTTTTCATATACTGCCCAAAAGGCTTTTAACAGTGCAGCAATTACTGTATCATCTTCCTAATACTAAYGAAACTCTTATCTTTTCCTACCCCTTTTTCTCCTTTGCAGATGGGTTTCATTCCACCTTCTTGGAGCTTTTTCACCAATAATGGCAGGAGAAAAATGGGATTTTTTTTACTATATTTTTGTATCAACTCTCTCCTCTCTTCACCTCTATGTGGACTGACATGTACCATTTTATCACTGTGGAGAGTAGAACAAAAATACTTCTGAGCTGTACATCTGTGCCCACACTGGCGTTTGTACCAACATAATTATTTCACTTGTGTGAAACTCAGAAAAAGGAGAAATCATCCTCTGAGGTTCATCATTCCAGGTCACAGAACTTGTGGCCCTGATATTCACAATCGAAAAGAAAGATTATTTGACACTACAGGAACTGAACAAGGGATGATCCCACCCTGGAAAARAGGTTCTCTCTGGTGTTTTCCTCGATTCCCCTGGAGCCCAGGCACAAAACGAGTGTTTTCAGGGATGCCCCCACTACTCACGCCTTGTCACACGTTGCCTCGTTGAAGCGACAAGCATAGATGAAATTCTCAAAGTCAGACTCATCCAGGGCTTTTGCATCAGGGACCTGGGCCAGGATGTTGATGTAGTGAAAGCTGTACCATTCTCTCACAGCATCCACCCCCGAGGAGTAGGTCTGATGGAAACAGTCGTTGTTCTCACTGCACTGTTGGGAAGGAGAAAAGCGGTGTCAGAGAGGAATTTTAGTCCAGGAGGCAAAGCTCTGCCTGGGGATAAGCTGTGCTCCCTCGGCACAGGCAGGAGATGACCAAGGAGATGAAAAGTTCCACAGTGGCTCTGTGTGTGACCAACAGGACATGGAAAAAGCCCAGGACAGCTCCTGGGTGGAAGGGGAACACCAGGTGAGGAAAACCCGGGAGGCAGCAAGGAGTGCAGGGTAATCTGCA